CTTTCCATTATGGTCCAGGCAGAAACAACAGCAGGTGAAGAAAGTACTTTTAGTCAGATTTCCCCTAATTCCTTGAGGCATTAAAGCATCTCTACTTTGAAAAGACAATGGAAATTGGAAATCCACTTTTTCATGTACATGAGTATTTTAAATATGGAATTTTCTGATGATGTGGGAGAGCAGCAGCTTTCACACAGCTACCCCTGGGAATTGCTTCCCCCGGAGTGATGGGTCCCGGCCCCCAGGGCCAATTCCAGCAGGATCTGGCAGGAGGATTCGGGAGCGTGGCAGGGAGCAGGCAGGGCTAGGGCTGCCGCTCCGCGCTGCTCCCAGGCGCGTTTTGGGAAATGATGCCTGTGGGGTGAATCGGTGACTGCCCCAGGCCGGGGCAGTGCGCAGCCCTTGGAAGGAGCGGGTTTTCCGCGGAGGAGGCTGCAGGACGCGGGGCGGACCCCAGCAGCTGCCTGCCCTCGCTCGGTGCTTGTCCCGATGACTGTGCCGGTGATTGTCCCGGTGATGCTCCCGGGCGTGGGCGCCCGGAGGAGCCGCAGCCCGGGAGGTGCTGCTGCCTGAGCTCTGACTCACTGTCCGGGCCCCCAGCTGGGAGCCGTGAACCAGAAAATGTCACAGCTTCCCACGGCAGAGCATTGCGGCTGGCCACGGGCACCAACTCAGGGTGCAGCTCCGTGGGAATAAGGGGCTTTGTCAGGGCTGTGGATTAGGATTCTGGTCACGGCCCAACTTTCGGTTTTTAGCAAAGATAAATGGTAACTGTGCCATCTCCTGTTTGCTGCAGTATTTTAGAGGCTTTTCTTCTCATAAATAACCTTGTCTTGACACTGGAGCGTCATTTTACTGCATGTGAGGCATTTGTGCTTTGAAGCCCCAGACCAGCTCTTTTCTGTGAAAACCACACTAACACATCCACAAATCTCACACTTTACAGCTTGTCACTCACATTTAACCTGCTTTAGAGCAGAGGTTTCCCCCAGCAGCTGCAGATGAAATATGCTTCATCTGTGACTGTTTTCACAAGCACCAGGCACCCCCTATGCCAGTGCCAAGCCAGGGCTGCCAGGGGCACCCAGACTGTTGCTCTACTGGTTTGCCAAGCAGAGTCTGTCTCTGGGTGCAGCAGGGCACACCTCAGCTCAGCGGTTAATTTTTAACTGCCCTGTTGCTCCATGGTGTCAGGGAAGCTGCCAGGGAGGTGTTGCTGTTGACTGGAGCACCCTGTCCCCCCACACACAACCACGGCCGGGTGAGGGCTGGCCCAGCTCCGCTTTGGACTCTGCTCCTGCTCTGCAGGCTGGATTTCAGCAGGCACTGAAGGTCACGGTACTGGGTGTTCAGACACTGGGGACATCCTCATCTCCTCCTGAACACTGTGCTCAGGCTGAGCTGGGCTGCTGACTTGTTCCAGCCCCATCTTTTTGTGGACATTTTTTGGCAAGATGGGGATGGGTGTTTGATGAGGGGACAGAGGGAGGGACCTCTGTGTGGTCTGCTGTCACTGACACCCCCTTTGCTCTGGGCTTTCTCTTTCCAGCACCTTGTGAGTGGCTTCCCACCTTCCCCAGTCTTTAAAGCCAGAGCTTCTGCCAAAAGTCTTCTCCTCAGTTTCTGTCCTGCCTTTCCATGGCTTCTCCCCAGCCAGCAGTGGTAGTGGGGATCCACCAGCACCCTCCCAGCACAGCTGCTATGCGCGGCGGTAGACAAGCTGGATAAAATTAGCTGCTCAGATGCATGTTCCTCAGGATGCTGGGACAGGGGACACCCAGTACAGCCAGCTTGACTCATGGAGAAGAATTAATGGAAACGCCCGGCTCCTGGAGGGAGGAAATTCCTTGAACAGCCTTTTCCTCCATTTGTTGTGTGGGGAGGCTGACAATGGGCCCCGCGGCCGGGCTGGCCCGGAGCTCGGCGTGGCCGCCGCAGGCGCCGCGTCTGCGGTACCGGGTGCTCAGGAAGGGCCGGCACTGCCAGGGGACAGCACGGCCGGGTGACAGCACGGCCAGGTGACAGCATGGCCTGGGTGACAACACCGCCGGGTGACAGCAGGGCCTGGGTGACAGCATGGCCTGGGTGACAGCATGGCCTGGGTGACAACACTGCTGGGTGACAGCAGGGCCTGGGTGGCAGCATGGCCTGGGTGACAACACCGCCGGGTGACAGCAGGGCCTGGATGACAGCATGGCCTGGGTGACAACAATGCCGGGTGACAGCACGGCCGGGTGACAGTATGGCCGGGGTGACAACACCGCCGGGTGACAGCAGGGCCTGGGTGACAGCATGGCCTGGGTGACAGCACTGCCGGGTGACAGCATGGCCTGGGTGACAGCACTGCCAGGTGACAGCACGGCCGGGTGACAGCATGGCTTGGGTGACAGCATGGCCTGGGTGACAGCACTGCCAGGTGACAGCACTGCCGGGTGACAGCACCGCTGGGTGACAGCACCAGCAGGTGACAGCACTGCCGGGTGACAGCATGGCCAGGTAACATCATGGCCTGGGTGACAGCACGGCCAGGTGACAGCACTGCCGGGTGACAGCACCGCTGGGTGACAGCACCAGCAGGTGACAGCACCACCGGGTGACAGCACCAGTAAGGTGACAGTACCGCCGGGTGACAGCACCACTGGGTGACAGCACCAGTAGGTGACAGCACTGTTGGGTGACAGCACCGCCGGGTGACAACATGGCCTGGGTGACAGCACTGCCGGGTGACAGCACCACTGGGTGACAGCACCAGTAGGTGCCAGCACTGCCGGGTGACAGCACCGCTGGGTGACAGCACCAGTAGGTGCCGGCACTGCTGGGTGACAGCATCGCTGGGTGACAGCACCAGTAGGTGACAGCACTGCCAGGTGACCTGCCCTCCCCACCTCTCTCCTCGGGCAGACCGCGGCAGGACCGCCCAGCGCAGCCCGGGCAGCCTTATTGGCAGTGCCAGCCCTGGCACATGGGCTGCCGCAAACACCGCGATGCCACGAATCCCCAGGATGGCTCCAGCTGCTCTGAGCCACCCAGGTGCAGCCCTGGAGATATGCAGAGCAGCAGCACAGTGTGTGCAAGGGCCCTGGGATGGCTGGACATTAGTACCTCAAACTCTCTTTGGCCCACGTTCATGAAAATTCATTGCAGTTTTTGCTGAGCCCACTGTAAGGCACATTCCTGGAGCACAAACCTGCCAAAGCAGCAGACAGGCTACAACAGAGGAAAACTGCTTTTTTCACTGTAAATGTCCAATAATCACATAACTTCTTAGTAAGTGACCTTTATTTATCAGGGATACCACTTGGGCTAATGATTTCAATGTAACGAGACAAGAGGGACTATAAAATCCCCAAGTCAGCGGGTGTTATGAATCATGTTATGCAAATCTTGTGAACAGGACTGTCTGGGCAATCCTAGGACATGCCAGCAGCAACCACTTCAGTGGGTGTTGATTTCAGTCTGCCGCAAGCATGGCTTCTGCCAGATTTGCTTCCTTCTTTCAAGGAAAGGCTGTTGCCAAATGATACCTAGGCTGTCCAGGTCATTGGTAGCACCAGGGACCTGGGTTTGGCTTTGGAGGCCCAGGGAGTGACAAACATTGAGCCTGGCACGGGGGGTGCATTGTGGACATCTCCATGGTCCAGGGGAGCAGGGAGCAAAGCTCCAGCAGCAGGGCCAGGGAACAACAGGACGGTGAAGAACTGATCTGGTCCCTGCAGGGTGTTCTCAGAGCATCCTTAGCAGTGGGCTGGTTGGGTCCTGGCAGGTAACACGGCCCTGAGGCAGGTGGGCTTGGGGGCTCCTTACCCTGCTGGCTTCTGTTATGAGGTTTGTCACAAGATGCTGCTCTGGCGGGAGCACCCAGCAGAGTGGGGAGAGCTGTGGCATCCCCAGGGCCCAGAGTGGCTGGGTGGAGCTGGGCTGAGCTGTGGGCAAGCACTGAGAGGCCCTGTTTGGCCTTTTTTTGGGAACAGCCCATTTGAGGCAGGTTTTGTCACTGTGGATGGTTTGTGGGGATGTGTCACCAATGGGTGCAGCAGCTGCAGCCAGTGTGGGACACCACTCTGGTTGAATGCTGGAAAACTGGCAACTCCTCTGCAGCAAACCTGCTCTCAGACAGATTTTTCTGAGCAAGGACAGTTCTGAAAAGCCTTTGGAAGCTCTTTCAAACAGGTTCATCACAAAACAGTTTACTCTCTGGTCTCCCTGGGAGGGGAAATCACCGTGTATCCCGCTCCAGTTATAAATAATTATAATTGCCCATTCTATTAGGGGACTTAAAAGATTATTTCCAGTCTCCCTGACTTATGGGCAATTTGGAGTTCTTACTGTAGGCAAAAAAAAAAAAAAAAAAAAATGTAGTTGGGCTATCACTCTTCCAAGCTGCTGTATCTTTGTTGCTCTAAGCAGAGTCATGGGAATGTTTTTATCTAAACCATCAGGTTATTAGAGGACAGACTTATAAATAACCAGTCTTTGCTATTTTTAAGTACTTTCAGCATCATTTATCATGATAGTACAGCACAACTTGCAGAAAAACAGTCCAGTTCTGCTGCCGAGGCTCCCTAACTTACTGCTGTTTCTCTGGGTGGTGAGGAGCCAAGCCCAGGTTCCTTCTCTGCTCTGCAGAAATGTCAAAGGCTGGCGAGCCATGCTGCCCAGCCTGGTCCTGAACCATCATTTTCTACACCTTGCTTTCCTCAATGCAGATGTTATTCTGCTTTATTACAGAGGGGAAACTGACATTAGAGTTGACTAGCAATAAATTTGGCAAGGCCTTTCTGGGGATGACATGGTTGCCACAGGAACTGTGGGGCAGCCTGATGCTGCCAGGTAGGATGGTGGGGCCGTGGGGGAGCCGGGGGCTGCTCCACATCCTGGGGATGGGCTGCCCAAGCCATATCTGTGGAGTGAAGGAGAGGTGCAGGTAGTCTGCTCCTAAACCCGGTCTCTGTTAAATGACAAAAAAAGTCTAACCCCACCACTCCAGGAGAACTGAGAATTTCAGACAAGATAATTTATATTTCCTTCATAATTTATTAGTTTTCACATCACTGTATGCAATAAATTATAGCCGATATAATAATAACATTGTCATAAAATATTGCCATGAAGTAAGTACTCATCTAATAGTGACTGTAACCTACACAGAAAAGAACTGCAGATATTATATTTAGAATTTTAGTGTTAGTGGTAAGTGACCATAATATTAGGGAACTTCACAGTAAATTCAGGGAAATCTGTCATTATTATTGCTTCAGTGCAAACGACTTTTCCTGCACACACAGCTTGGGAAGGAAAGGCACAGTTGTGCAGTGTCTCTGCTGCAAATGCGTTCCCGGACGGCTGAACTTACTGCACCGCACGCTGCATTTGGGTGCATTTAACCGATGCAAAGGGACCGTGGCCAGCAGCCGACCGGCCTCCAGAGCCCCCCGCCAGGCACCGGGGCTCTGCACGGCCTCAAGCTTTAGGGCAACGAGGCTGGAGAGGCAAAGCACCCGGCGCAAGTCTCTGAGCACCAAGTCCATCAGGAGGTCCCGAGTCACAGCCGGGTGTGTGGCTTTGCCCCTGCTCGGCTGCCCGGAGGAGCTCGTCCGCCTCCAGCTGGGAGCTGCTCGCTCCCTGCGAGCCTCTGGCCACCAGGCTGCTGCTGTGCACAGTGCTGTGCCCGGGCACCGGTCCTGCCCTGGGCACCGCTGCTGCCGCTGTGCACAGCGCTGTGCCCGGGCACCGGTCCTGCCCTGGGCACCGCTGCTGCTCCGGGCACCGGTCCTGCCCTGGGCACCGCTGCTGCCGCTGTGCACAGTGCTGTGCCCGGGCACCGGTCCTGCCCTGGGCACCGCTGCTGCTCCGGGCACCGGTCCTGCCCTGGGCACCGCTGCTGCCGCCGCCGCTCGCGGCTCGCGTGGTGCGTGGACTGTCAGGTCCCCAGGCCCACGGGGCAGCGGAGCATGCCGAGTGTGGCAGGAGGTCTCAAACAGTCCCGTCACAAAATGTTCTCCGTTTCCTCTGCCTCCGCCAGTTCAGTGAACTTTAATTGAGTATTTCCGAAATGTCAGGAACTGCAGCAGTTTGTCTTTTCTCCTCTGCTTTAGTGCCATTAGTGCTCTCGTTTTTTCCTCCATGTCCTGGTCGGTGGCGAGGATTATCTTGGCTCTCTCCTCCGCCTTCTTGTCCCCGGAGTTTTTGAAGAGTTTCTGCAGGGATGCCTCGTTGATGCTTTCGAAGATGTTGGCCGCGGCTTTCTTGCGCAGGGCCGTGTCGAAGCGGTAGCCGTGCACCGAGGGGCTCACTCGCAGCGACGTGGACATGGCTGGAGCGCTGGAGCTTGGCTTTGCTTTCATCGACGTGGGCTCTGCCGGCTCTGGCCCGGGCTCCAGTGGAGGAACGCGTGCTGTGCTGGCTCCAGGGCCGGTATTTAAAGGCAGGCTGGAGGAAAAGCTGGAGGGCTCCGGTTACAGCGGTGAGATCACGATGATGTCAACACCCAACAATCACAGGCAAGTTTAACATTTAAGTTGCCAACTTTCCTGTCGTGCGGATGAAAAGTCCTCTCTGCTTCTGCGACGGAAATGTTGGGGTTTTTGACCCGCCACAGAACAGGCTTCAGCCATCACTGTGGGACCGAGCCAGCACAGCCCAAACTCCACTCCTGCCCTTGCTGCGTGTGAAAAGCCCTGTGTGCACAATGTCATAAACATGTGCACAATTATCATAAACAGGTAAAACTCCAGGTGAGAACTGTTGCAATGCTAGCAAGAGGCTGGAGCCTGTGCAAACAGCCAAGAAAACTATCTCCACTGCCAACCTGCTCCTGTCTGGGCATGGGTTCCTTTCTGCTGCTCCCAGCAGATGCAGCTCATCTTCAGTGCACACAGAGCTGTAGCTTCTAACTGGCAAGTGCTGTCCCAAAGGCAGGCGATCCATAACATCCTCTGAGGTGACTTCCCTGGGTGTTACACCCTCAGCTGCCCAGCTGCACGTGGCAGTGGTCTCAGGAGGAGCGAGAAAACTCAGATTGCTGTCCTGCTCCTGCCCCCAGTGTCCTTTTGCTTAAATTTCATGCTCATTAGTGCTGGAAATAAAACTCACCTCTGCTCCACAAGAATCTGTGCTCTCCATGCCACCTTTGGTCAATGACAAGTCCTTGGGCTGAGAGGACTCCCTCTTAGTCATGTGGGTTAGTTTTGGCTCCTGTGAGGAGCAGGGAGCTGGACTTGATGACCCTTTGTGTCCCTTCTCACTCGAGGTGCATTGTGCACAGGGTTAGGGTCCACAGGCCTGATCCAGGCCTGAGACACCTGGATTGTACTGAGCACAGTCAAATCTGGCCCAGAATAGCTGTGGGTTCAGAAGTCACCTAAGGCCAGGAGCCAAAGATTAAGTGCATTTTGGTTAATGTTTTAAAGCAGCCGGATGCTGCAGAGGCTCTGTTTGGAAAACTAGAAGCTTGTTTACTGTCGTTGCTGGCCCTGTTACTCATCCTTGCTGAAAGGCTCGAGGAACAGCCTCTGTCCCCATCCCACTCAGACCAGGGGCTTCCCTCACTTACCAGAGAGCTGTGGAAATTATCTATGACCACACTGAAGAACAGATCCAAGCAAACATCACCCAGATGCTTTTTATTCCATACACGCCTCTCTAGCAGTCAGCAGGAGCAGTGGAGAGGTGAACACACCTGAAGCCCCTGTGTAGGTGTTTGTACTGGCTCCGAATGGAGAAGGGGATTACCTGTGAGTTGTTGGTCACCAGGTGAAGTGTGAGCAGGGCAGGTGGCTGCCTGGGACTCAAAGTAACTGGCAAGCCTGGCTGCATCCGGGCTCAGATCAACTTCCAGCTGGCCAGGACTTGCCAGGCTTCTATCCTTAGGAGAGGGAGTGGTGTCATTTCAGTGTTTGGCCACTTTCCTGCCTGGGACTTGGGACTCACCTGTTGGTGCTGCCGGGCACATCCTGAAACAGCCCTGAACCCTGCAGTTCCCATATCCTGCCAGGACATGGGTTTCCCTGCTGCTGCCAGGACTTTGCTCTGGCATGAGCTCCCTCTGCACGTGCCATCGCTTCCTGTGGTTTTGTCATTGTGTGAGTTACTTTTTACAAGTTTTCCACAGTTTCTTTTGTATGTGCTGGATGTTCCGTGCTTCAGTGTATAAACAACAGCTTTGCAAATCCCTGGGATTCTTCTTCCACCAGCCAGACGTGCAGCCTCTCACCTTGCCATGGTCTTGCCAAATTGGTGAGACCAATTCGTCAGCTGCTTGTTCAACATTTGCAGGGCTGATAAATCCACCCTGAAAATAGAACAGTTTTGGTGTGGCTGGATCTCTGCCTGGGAAAGATCTCATGGTTTAAAGACTCTGCTAACATGAAATGTGGTGGGGGAGCAGAAGGAAGCAGGGCCACATGTGCTGCCCAACCCTTCCTGCTCAGAGCAGCCGGAGGACTGGGGGGTAAATGTGCCAAAAACACGTGCCTGGATGAACTGCTGAAAGTGCTTTGCTTCACAGGACAGATAACAGTGTCAGGGTACTTGGGGCAAAATTCAGTGCCAGAAGATCAGCCAAGATCTTGTGGGCTGAAGAAAACAAACCCTTTTTTGCCCCCTGGTCAAAAACAAGAGCTGAGGCAGGTTCACGTGTGCCTTGTTGTCACTGCTCCCACTGCACATGGAATCACTCTGCAGGTATTTGCAGAGATGTGGCTGACAGCATAAATTAGCTATATCTGTGGAAGATACAAGCTTAGAAAAGTATCTGCCATGGAAACCGAGACTAAAGCTGATGCTTTAGGAGTAAGACATCAGAAAGCTGCCAAGATCAAGCACGCGTTCCTTGTGAGCTCATCTCGCACAGAGCAGTAACAAATGTCTTTGCCCCTTCAAGCTTCTCTGCCCACTTTGTATAAATTTAGTTGTGCTTGGCTCTGACAGAGCGTTGAAGTATGCCTCGTCTGTTTTTTTCCAGTAATTTTTGTTTATATGGGTGTTTTAATACTGCTTTCCCAGTAATGCCTGGGAGGAATTATTCATGTGTTGGATTGGAGAGCAACTTCAGAGAAGATGTGATTTCTATCGTCGTTCTCCTGCTATTATTGTGTAATTGCTTTGTGAGATGCAAACGCTCCATTTCACCCGTTAATGGGAGGATTAATTCCCATCCCCACCGTCTGCAGAGAGGCACAGCCACATCTCTAATTGTGTTCTGCTTCTCCTGGTGTGACGGACGAGGGGTGCGAGGGGTTCTGCTGCCAGGAAAGCCTCCGGACTGGCCAGGGAGCTGGCAGCCTCAGGGCAGGAGCTGGAGGCAGGCTGGGGCTGCCCTGGGTGTGGGGCAGCTGGGGCAGCCAGTGCCTGCGCCACAAACTTGCAGAGAACTGGCTTTGCCTTCATGTAACCTCCAAAACCACTCCAAAGAAGGTAATCCGGGATGCCTGGCAGTTCCCTGGGGCATGTTTTGCATAGCTTTCCCTCCACTGGCTGCTGCCAAAGCCTGCACGGTCTGTAGCACCCATTTGGGATCAGAGGATGCAGCAGCCCCCACAGAGCATCCGTGCTGCCCAGACCTTCCCAGCCAGGCACAGGGCATTCAGAAGCTGAGACTCAGAATCTCCTGTGATACCTGCGAGGTATAACAGATAGATATAGATGGCATAGATATAGATGATATAGATATAGGTAGATATTTGCTTTGTGTTCAGGCCATTCACTGAAAACCTAAGAATGGGAAATGTCCAGGAACATCCAGCCATCTCTGTTCTTCCTATCCTTTCCCTGGCTGACATGGTCTGGAGCTCTGGCTCCTCACAGCCTTCACAGCTGCCACCAGCCTGCAGCTGGGGAACCCCAGTCCTTCTCAGGAGCCAGAAATGCCACTGTCTGCTGGGAAAGGCTTCCGAGATGGAAAGGTTTCTGAGATGGAGTGCTCTGCAGACAGCTGTGGCATGGCTCTAAGGTCAAGGAGGAACTGGTTCATTGTGTTGCTCTTGGAATCCGAATTCCTGGGAGGTTGTCAGACATCCAGGTCGTGCGAATGGTAGTGCCTGCCCTGGCTCCAACCTGCCTAGAGCCTCTCTTCACTGGGACTTGTGTGCCTCTGGGACTCCACCTGAGATTTCTGTTTGTTTGGCTGTTGCTTGGGTTTTTCTGTGGTTGTTGTTTCTTTAATAGAACATCTGGGAACCCTTGTCCAAATCTCACGGCAGGACACTGCACCCTTTGCTCACAGAAACTCCAAGAGCTTGACTTGGCCAATTATGTTCCTTGTGACTCCTCCTGTGGTCCCTATTTCAGAGATATGGAACAGGGCAGGCACTTGTCCCCAGTTCAGAGGTACAGGAAGGAGGGGATATTTGTCCCCAGGTCAGAGGTGCAGGATAAGGAGGGTATTTTAAGGGCACTTCTGTTGCAGTTCAGTTGCTGGGAAGCACAGATGTGTCTCAGACAATCTTCACCCAGCTCCCTGCCTGAAAACAGGAAAAACAGACAACAGAAGGCATGATGGCACAATTAAACCAGTTAAATTCCATCAGAAAATATTTTAATAGGAGAAAAAATAAGGACTAGACTAAGTGAGGGAAATGCAGCCCCAGAAGTGTGCAGAGCAGCCCTGTCCTGCTCTGGCCCAGGGAATGGCTGGAGCTGGGTGGGCACTGGCTGAGCCAAGCATCGTTCCCTGCAGGGAGACCATATAAGAGTAAAGTCTGTGGTGTTACTGATAATAAATGTCTCCTCATTTCTCATAAATTCTCTGCTAAATGTACGATCACCAAGTTAATAATGCAGTGCAGGGCATAACGGATAGCCAGTTACAGTAAGTAAATCATGTCTGGTAAGAAACAGAAGAGAAACAGAAACTTCTGGCATTTCTACCAGGCAGGACCCCTTGGAAGAAGCCCTGCACGCAGCAAAGCAGAGCTGAGGATACATCTGGTGTGGATGCTTGCTGGGTCTGGGGAGGCAAGGGCTTGCTGTGGAAGGAAGCCACAGGTGATTCTCTTGGTGCTTCAGACTTCCAAAATCCATCTTGCAAAGAGAAACTCTGACTGTGAAATACAGTGGCCTGAAATATAGTAGTGGGTTGCCAGCCAGAGCATCGTCACAAAATCTGTCTGTGGGGATGCAGGTGAAAAACACCCGGGGTGAGGGACAGGGTAGGAATTTAAGTGGGAAAACTCAATCAGGTGTGATTACATGCCAGCAGGACCAGCCCCCTGGGATGGCACTGGCACCTTGGGATGGCACTGGCACCCTGGGATGGCACTGGCACCTTGGGATGGCACTGACACCCTGGGATGGCACCGGCACCCTGGGATGGCACCAGCACCTTCAGATGGCACTGGCACCCTGGGATGGCACCGGCACCCTGGGATGGCACTGGCACCCTGGGATGTCACCGGCACCCTGGGATAGCATCGGCACCTTAGGATGGCACTGACACCCTGGGATGGTACTGGCACCCTGTGATGGCATCGGCACCTTGGGATGGCACTGGCACCCTGGGATGGCACCGGCACCCTGGGATGGCACTGGCACCCTGGGATGGCACCGGCACCCTGGGATGGCACTGGCACCCTGGGATGTCACCGGCACCCTGGGATAGCATCGGCACCTTAGGATGGCACTGACACCCTGGGATGGTACTGGCACTCTGGGATGGCATCGGCACCTTGGGATGTCACTGGCACCCTGGGATGGCACCGGCCCGTCACTCCTGCAGCCACGCTCACCATGTCCCGCTACTCCCCTGGGAGCCAGGGTAAGTATTTGAATATCCTGACTTCAGCATCTTCCTCCCAAGTCAGGAATGAAAGTTTGGACTTTGGAGCACGAACAACCTTTTCTTTCTCTGCCCAATTTCCTGTTTGATCTTCCTGAAGGTCCCGAGGAGCCGCCGCTGGAGAGGGGCGAAGGCAGAGCCGTCTCCAGCTGTCAGACAGCTCATTGTCTGCTGCCGAGGGGACGGGCTCACGGGAAATCCTGCCGTGGGCGGGCCGAGGGCTGCCCCGGGGCATTGTCGCTGCCCCAGCACCCGCGCGGCGCCGCGGTGCCCCCTCCTCGGGCTCTAATCTCCCCGAG